CTTCCGGCCCTTCTTGCAGGTGGGCGTCATGTTGCCAAGTCTCCAGTCTTCCGGGACCTCCCCTAATGACCAGGAGTGCTGGGAAATGATGGAGAGCGGCTGGGCAAGCTCCTTTCCAACTCCCTCAGTACCCTCAGATGAATCCTGTCCGGCCATGGACTTGTGAGTGTCCAGGTGGCACAGCAGGTCATTAACTGAGCCCTCCTGGATCATGAGGGGTTTATTCTGCTCTCCATCCCTGTCTCCCAGCTCAGGGGCTGAGAACTGCTCTGGCTATTACAGACTGAGGCAAAGGCTGCATTCAGTACCTCAGCCTTTTCATCGTCCTTTGTCACTGTTTCCCTCCACATCCCATAAGGGATGGAGATTCCCTTTGACTCTCTTTTTGTTGCTACTGTATTTGTAGAAACACAGTGGCCAGATTAAGTTCCTGTTGGGCTTTAGCCTTTCTAACTTTCTCCCTGCATGCCCTTACGAGATCCCTATACTCTTCTTGAGTTGCCTGCCCCTTCTTCCAGGAGTGGTAAACTCTCCTTTCTCCCTGAGTCACAGCAAAAGCTCCAGGCCAGGTGTCTTCCCTGACGGTTTGTCTTACAGCATACGGGACAGCCCGCTCCTGCGACAGTAAGACTTCCTTTTCGAAGGACAACCAGCCTTCCTGGACCCCAGTCTCCCAAGGGACAGTCTCAACCAGTGTCCTAAACAGACCACAATCTGCCCTTTGGAAGTCCATGGTAGTGGTCTTGCTGGCTCCCCTCCTTACTTCAAGGCACTCCAGAAACCTCCTTGATTGCTTGTACTTTGCTGTTGAAAACAAAGCTGGGAAACCGGTGCACAGACTTCTAAGCCTTCTGGCTGCCTCTGTTCGCTGCACTCTTATCCATGCTGCTGGAGCTCAGGACTGGAGCTGGTCTTTAGTCCGCGTGTGTGCAAAGCAACCAGGCACGCTGGGAACAACTTCCTGTGGGATTAATTCTCACGTCCTGTATTGTCACAGCTGGTAGCACTTCCTCTGTGTTTCTGCCTTTCACTTTGTTAGTATTTCCTTCTAGACTGCTTGCCTTTATTTGACTGTTCCATATAAGTCTTTCCCGTCAAGTCGTCCTATATTCAAGAAAACGGGAAAGAAGGATCCCCAGGAGATTTAGGTTGATGGAGAAACTGCCATCAACCCCTGAGAAAGAGATAACTGGATCCAGCAAGTTCTCTTCTGAACATGAGCACACTTGCTGTTCCTTCTTGGTGCTTGGAACCCTCTTGTGCATTCTCCCTCCTGCTTCAGGTTGCTTCTAAAACAGGCACCTTCAGTCCTCCCAACACGCGGTTCACTGCGTTTCCACTTCTTAAACAGGAGCTGCAACTAATTCAGTATGTGGTATAATTTTGCACAAAATCTGATTAGGTTTTATCTTCCAGCTTCTGGCTTTCAGTTTCTCAGATCCCGAGTACCTCTGAGGGAAGTTGCATTCTGTCTTCTCTTGCAACCTTGAGTCCTGCAATACACCCTGGAACCACAGTATTTTCCTCAGTTCACGTCCCGTTGATCTTGTCTGTATCCATGCCATGCTTGTTGGCTCTTGTTGATACCAGAAGGGTCTGTGAAAGGAGATTCGCGGTTCTTCAGTGCCTCTTTTAGGAGTGAACTTGTTATAACCAAGTACCGCTGTCTTCCGAGGTTCAGGGGCAGAAGTCCCTGAGAATTCTGCACTGCCAGGTGCTACCCTTATGTCCCAGCACGCTGATCTGACACATATATTTCTGAAGTGAAATAACCACGGGTCACTCATGAAGCCCTTCATGACTGGAGCAGGTAGAAAACCGCTGAGAATCTTTACTTACAGAAATGTCGAAAGACATACAGGAAGATTGAGGTCATTGAGGTCACTCTCCCCAGGTGTGCCTCTGGTGTTTGTGGAACAGGAAAGAGAAATAAGTTCCTGCCATTTTGGAAATATAAGATATTTGCAGTGGTTCCAGTGCCTTCCAGAGCAGAGGAAACTTCTCCCTTCACTGGTCCCAGCTGCCTGGCAGCAGGACTAATAAGGAGATTTTGTGCAGGCTAGTGCAGAGTTTGGCTACTGTCACTGAGACTTCTTATCCCAGAGTGGGACAGAGCTGTTAGTCACCTGAATGTTGTGAGGTCGGCTGTTACTCGCTGGAAACAGTAGCTTGGTTTGTGATGCTGAAAAGACGATCATTTGCTGTCTCTCTGCTTTAGACCCTGTGCACACACCAAGGTGAATTCCCTTGAGGGTGCTTGCACAGACCTTCATCTTGGTCAAATGGCCTGGGTAGCAACAACAAATAAAACAGGAATGTGGACATAAACAGTTGTGTGAACTGAATAGCTGAAACTATCTGAGAAGGCATTTAGCCCAAACACACTATTCTTAAAGAACATGACCACCAACTGAAAAGCTTTTGAGACTGGGGGGGAAAGAAAAAATTAGAATAAGCAAGAACCTTTTTGACCGAGAGAAGAGAGAATTGGGAAGGAAGTGGCAGTTGAAATCTGATTTGACAGTTGCCCTGCAACTCTGCAATCTCTGTAACAGAGTATGCTCCCTGTTGGGTGCCGTGGGGAGCCTGCCTTCCTGGCAGCAAGGGGTGCAACACATCCAGACCCACATCTTCCGTGTGCAGAGGTGACCTTGTGCTTTCTCACTGGTCTGTGGGTTAGCAGACTGTAGGAAGTGGTGTGGATACACAGGAACCCTACATCTCCAGCAGGAAGTGTGTGAGAACAGGGCAACCCTGCTCCCAGAAAAGGGGATGTGTTCTCACAGCCTGCGCTTCCTGTGGTAGGGGTGGGAGACAGGAAGTTGCACAAGGAATCATGTGAATGTGTGTATATGTGAGGGTTAGAGCTTTTGGGGATTAGTTATGCAAAGATGTTTAGAAATTTGTAGGTGTTTATTAATATTTTCTGTCTGGTATTGTGTTTTATCTCTTGGATTGCTAATACTGATCTTGAACAGTATTTCAGGGTTTGTCAGTTAATTGCATGTCATGAATAAACAGGTAAACTGCTTAGATCCATCCTGGTTAGATTTAAGCCACATGAACTAAGCACATTCTCCTTCTGATTGATCCATACCCTCTACATTCTCAGTACTGAACAGCTGAAGTCAGCTCCCCGCCCATATGCACAAAATCAAGTATAAGCACGTTCTCCTTCTGATTGATCTCTACATTCTCAGTACTGAACAGCTGAAGTCAGCTCCCCGCCCATATGCACAAAATCAAGTATATTTTAGAGCAATAACAAATACAATGCATTCTCAATTTTGGGCATCTGTGGTGACATTCAGCTCTGTTCTCCAGTGTGACAGCTGGGAACTTTTTAAAATGTCACTTGAGAATCTCCCACTCTGCTGTGCATCCAGCAGCCAGTGCCTTCTAGTAGCTCCTCTCTTCCACCACAATACCAGAAAGCACGTGTATGGGGCCAGCTTTCCAATGCAACAGAGCTATTGGGTGGTTCAACCCTGACTGCAACCTGTTGTGCACGAAAAAACATGCTCAGAGGATGTTTTCTACGTATGTTATGCTTGCCCTTATTTGTAACCAGTTTTGTGCCCTGGTTTTTTGAGACTTCGACAGATATGCTCGTGTTATTGTGTTAGCTATCCCATTCCTTCCTCAGTGCATCCACGCATAGAGCTTCACAGGGAAAAACTAGCTGAGTGGAGCTAAAACTACCACATATGGCTGTGCCTTTTGTAGTCGTGACCAAGGAAAACTGTAACTCACAGGGATTCTGGCATCATCTAGTGATCCATGCTGACATCCAGCTCCATAATGACAGGTCATATGCAATCCCTCCACTCAAATTTCCATCCTCTTTCCATGAGCAGTTAGTTAAAAACAGTGTTGGCAAGTTCTTTGTTGTGCTCTATGTTACTGGGCTCGGGTTTTACATGGGGACTTGCCCAGATTGTCACATACATGCTTTTCTGCTGTTTTTTGACTCCCTTTCACAGGACATTGTGGGTGGGTTTAGCCCTTTGCTATCAAATACCAACAGCATAGGCATTTTCACGCACATACTCACCAGGGAAGAACAAACACCAAAAAGGTAAGACCAGTAATATGTCCTGTGAAACTGCTGGAATATATGCAAAATGGTGGTGTTTGAACTGGAATAATATTACTCTTAATCTGTTTTCATTTGCCTCTGCGAATTTCTGTGTTGCAATGAGCACCTTGTGAAATGTCCTGGCAGAGAAATGATGAAAATTCCCCCAACTCCATATGCTGTGGGGAACACCCAGGATACGTCCTTTTTTGCACACCATATTAAGAGACTGTGAAGGCTCCTCACCAGTGTGGGAGCAGCCCTGGTGCAGTCTTCTGTGCAGGAGGGAGGCTGCATTCATGGCCATATTGGTAATGGGGACTCTTGGTGGAGAAGAGTGATACTGTGGTAGAAGACATCATGAATCACCGGGGGAGAGTCAGTCCTAGAACTGCAGGTAACCACAAAGCCTTCCTTTCTGTTCTCCTGTAGAAGAAGGAGGAGGTGGGGGAAAATACGGGACTGGGATAGACAATGGGCATGGTACAGTGGGTGGCCTCATAACAGGAGAAGGGGCCTAGGACAAGACCAAAGCAACAGATGAGGGAACTGGGGACTGCCTGGACTGGGAGAACAACCTTTTTCCCAGAGACAATGGAATGAAATTCCAGGCAGACTATGCTCTGCCATCGCCTTCAGTGTTTTTTCTATAAATGATGGAACTGAAAAGTCCCATTAGCATAATCTACGAGCATTATCCAGGTACAACTATCTGCATCAAACTAAGCACAAGTCACTGCCCACATCTCTGGTGTCTCTAAGGAGCACCAAGTGAGGGCTCTCCCAAGAGCTTCAAAGTGTCTGTTTTTCCTGTGGAGACAATCTCTTTTTGTGTGTCTGCCTCTGCAAACACTGAGCTGGGCAGTCACCCCTTTGAGTGGCTATACGCTGTTGCATAAAAGGGCTTGGGGAATAGAGCCAAACGAAAGAGCTAAGAGAAAGAAGCTCTAAAGAGAGATGAAGAGGAGGGAGGTACAGAAAGAGCGGTCAGTGGAAGCCAGGGGTAATGGATGGCAACAAGGAGGATGTGTTGAGGAGAAAGGAGTGGTGGCAGGACAAAGAACGGAATGCATTTTGGGAAGAGTACAGGCAGGGCTTTGGAAGAAAAGAGCAACTTCAGGGCAGCCTTACTCCATATGTCTCACACTGCTAACGACAGGCAGCAGGACCTGGTTACAGCACTTGCGGGGCTCCACAGTTCTTGGAATAAGGCTACCAGCAGATTGTTGGGGTATAGAGGCACCTGCATTATCCTGGTGCTGGGGGATTCCTACTCTTGCCTTGTGTTTTTCAGCCCCAGCAGAAGAGAGAAGCTGCTCCCAGCTGAACCCCTGGGTCTTCCTTGTTTCTGTCCTTGCCATCAAAACTGCCTTTGTAACCATCTGCCTTGGTGGGTTCCAGTATCTCTTAATTCCCCTGGGATAAAGAGAGCAGCTGACTGCCTTTTGCCAGATGAAAAAGCAAAATCCTAGTCTCTCTGCCAGCAGACAAATGCCCTTCGCCAAAACAGCCTGTTCTGCTACCCCTCTCCTGCCTCTTCCCTCTTAGTCAGGGAGTAAGGTCCCTTCCACAGTTAAGGTTCATACCCTGGCAGGACCTTCTCACTGCTCCTCTCCCTTTCCCTCTTGCCTGCATAAAGCCAGTCTTGGATAAAACCAGTCAGTTTCTCCCCTCCCACCAAGAGCTGAGAAGTATCTTTGGTGTCAAAAGGCATCTGAGTAGGTTCCCGGAATGCTGGACATTGGTTCCTGGGACTTGGGCTGTCTCTCAGAGCTTCCTGTGACAATGTACCAGCCAAAGAGCCAGGGTGATCTCCTCGGAAATACTGGTACCAGGCTGCCCATATTTTAGCAGGGTGGGGATGAATCCATCAAAATGCTCCAGGCACCTTACCCACACTGCCCGGACAACCCAAAAGGGAAATCCTTTGTTTGTCCTGAACTATCATATTGCTCTGTGATGACTCTTCTGTGGTGATTCTTAACTCCCTTGGATGAGGCCTCAACACTCAACAGTTCCGCCTCCTTCTTGATAAGAGTAAAAGTGGTGCTCTAAAGCTGCAATGCTCAGGAAGAGTAAGAGTGAGCATATTTAATATTCCACCTTTATTAAGCTTCATTACTTGGTTTTACTAAGCTACTTCACTTCATTACTTCTTTGACCCTCTCCTGACCCCATCCTCAAAGGTTGTCTAAACTGGATTTGTTATCTGGGAAAATGAGTCTCTCAGGCAGGAGAGGTGAGAGGAGCTCAGCTGATTAAAGCCTCTTCAAAGGAAGGAGTGACCAGTAGTGGCAGAAATGGCCTGCTGTTTCTCGTCTCTTTGTTCAATACAGATTTTAAAGCTTGTTAACGTAACAGAGGCTCTGTGGGAGCTCTAAGCCATAAGGTGGAGCATAGGACAGTTTGCTCATGTATGAGGAGAAAAGGATGACAGTAGCACTTTCCTCCTCTTTCCTCTCTTTCCAGTTGTTTTCCTTCATGGAAGCTATGACCAGTACAAGACTCTGCTCCAGAACGCTACAGAGTGGCACTGCATCCCCAGCACACCTACAAGCAACAGTGAGTGATGCTAAGAGCCTCATAAGCAAAATTAAGAACTTCACCAAAATTTACTCTGGTGTCAGTCAGCCTTTGAGGTCGGGAATGTTATTGTCAGCCAGGGCTGTGCCACAGTCTCTCTTTCTACAGAGCTATAAATGGTGTATGTACCTTGAGTGGATCTAATTTATAAGAGCACAGGTAGGTTAACAAAAGTTCTGCTAGCTGTTTCACTCACTGGACACTATTCCCTCCATTTGGTGGCAAGAACGGGTGTGAGATTGTGTGCTGTGAAGACAGCTCCTGAAGGGCAGAGGATTATGTCTCCACCTTGTAGTATGAATGTGACACGCTTGATTGCTGTGAAGGGGCTGGAGATTGGCTTGACCAGGGCACCGTCACTGTAGGCAACGCCCTGAAGAGCTCCTCGTGGGGAAACCCAAGAAGAGGGCCACTGTGAAATCTGAGATTCAGAGCAAGCATCATCTAAAGTAGCACATGTAAGGTTGTATTTGTTTGCTGACCTTACTGGATGAACTTTTCGGCCTGATATATTCTATACAGAGATATAGTCAGAGTAAAATATATACAGCTCAAAGATGATATATAGCCTCAAAGCATGCTTTGAGATAATATATCTGTGCTTTTTTAATCCACCATGTGACTTTCTGGCTATAAGGCAGATCTCTAGGAAAACCTGGCTAGTGTAAGAAACTGCCTGTGGTGGCAGCAAGGCTGTCAGAGCAGTTCACTGCACGTCTCTCACTCTGCATGAGCTGAGAGCTAAACGTTTGGACAACACGTCTCTGACGGAAGTGTTCCCAGAGGAGCACAAGCTAACTAAGTCCCATCTCGCTTCCTCAGGAGGGGTAAGGCAGAACCTGTCTCTCAGCAAACAGGGCTTGCATGGCCATGGCAGAACTGATAGAGAAAGGGAAAGGCACTTCAGGCCCGGGCCTTGTGACAGGAGCCACAGCTTTACTTATGGACCGTGGAAGAGAGCATTTACCTACATCCAGATTAAAAGTGTTGTTCAAACCCCTCGCCTAACACTGGGACCTTACACTGACGTTATTAAGATGAAGGACAGCACATCTGATTCAAAAGCAGGTTTTTTTCCCCCACAGAGGAGAGCTGGACGTGCTGCCCTAAGGGCTGGGAACGCTTCCAAAAAAGCTGCTATTTTCTGTCTGAAGACGCGATGCCCATGGCTGAGAGTGTGCAGAACTGCACCGGGATGGGCTCCCACTTGGTGGTGATCAACAGCGAAGCAGAGCAGGTACGTACAGGGCTGTGAGGGGGACACAGCAGCCAGAGACACAGTGCCAGGCCCTGCAGGGGACTCAGAGCCCCTCCTTGCTGCTGCAGGGGAGGGGGGATGTCCTTTCTGCACCCCTTCAGCACCAGCTCCCCTCTGCCACCAACCCCAGCCCACGGGGTCTCCTGCCGCCTCCCTCACCCAGCCCTGCACCCCATGGACATTGTGCTTTTTTCCAGGAGTTCCTCTTCAAGCTGGCAAAAGGAGCATTCACCAATGCCTATGAAACAAAGTACTACATAGGCTTAATTGCTTACAAAAGTGGGCAGTGGCAGTGGGTGGATCAGACTCCATATGAGAAGGCAGCCACGTGAGTATCCCAGAGGAGTGAGGAAGGTCCTGTGATTAGCATCCCTCAGTCCAGGTGTCAGAGAGGGGGGCTCTCTGTCCCTAACTACACTCTAAGCCAGAAAACTTGACCAGTTTTCTAGTCAAAAACATGACTAGTCTTTGGCTTGCCAGAGCCCCTGATCTCTGTTTTGGTAATCTTCCCTTTTCTCTTCCATAACTGTTTGAGGTGACTTCACCCCCACTCATTCATGTCAGTGCATTTCCAATAGGGGAACTTTCTTTTACAGGTTCTGGAAACCTGGGGAACCCAATTTACTCTTTGCAGAAAAATGTGCTGCAATTCACGTCAAGGGAAACACAGACTCCAGCACTTACAGTAACTGGAATAACATCCTTTGCTTCACAAGTTGCTATCGAATTTGTGAAGTGGCAGCCAAATTTGTCTGAGGAGGGAAATCCGCTTTGGATGAAGGACCTGAAGGAGTATTCTTGAGAAAGGGCATCTCATGAAACAGCTGCAGAAAAGTTGGTGTGAATCCACACATAGGCTTTGTCTTGCAATGTATATTGAGCAAGCCTGTCACAAAATCCCACATCTGAAAGACCTCAGTTACCAGCCTGTGCCCCTGCATCACTTTCCAAGCTGAAGATCAGTCCTGGATGAAGTTGCTCAGGCTGATGGCAAGGACCTACTGTGTGCCTTTTCACTCTTCTCCTTCACAGATGGGTGCCCTGATCCTCCCGTACTTTCCTTGACTCCTTCTCCAGTCAATATCTCAATGGTGCAGAAAAGGCCCTCTGTTTCATGAAAGGTTACTGGTCCTATAAATCACTGGAGCAGAATTTGAAATAAGAACATTCCATGGAGTGTGCTTGGCCCTTCCCTGAAGGGAAAAATTATTCATGGCTTACCTGTAATGTCTCGCTCTTCCTTCAGCATATTCTGTCTTGATATGTTATAAAAACACCCATCAATAAATGTTAATTCTGCCCTTTGCATGAGTCTGTCTTCTGAGCGACAAGTCCCAGCCGCTCGCCAACCCAGCCTCTCCGCATGGTGGATTTAACTTTTCAGTGGGTTTGGCACCTGCGGGTGGGAATATTTGTGTGTTGTGGCCTGGCCAGGAGCAGGCACAACCTAGCGCTCATCCGCAGGGTGTCCCCAGACATGGGAGAAAGGCTGTGCACCCTTTGAAGACTCACGTGTGAGGGAAGCAATGGAGCAGACTGTGGAGCAGACAATGCTAACAACTGTTTGCCCAGGATGTAGCAGAAAAGGAGATGGATTTTGGAGATCCTGCTGAGATATATGGCAGGATTAAGCATGGCAATGAAGGGGAGAAAAAGCAATCAAATAGCACATGAAGGATAAGAGCCAGTCTCCCCGGGGGGAATTCTAATGTGAGCAAAGGGTAGAAGACCACAGTCAGAAGCATCACTGCAAATCAGACAGACAGAAGTCTTGAGCAAGTGCTCTGCTTCCCCAAAATTCCCTAAACCTCTGTCTGTATATTCCTCCCTTTTCTTCCATACTCCCGGGAGAGCTGGAAGTTTCCAATTTAGGACAAAAAAAATATCTGAAAAATCAGTTCTGGGTGAGTTTTTTTTAATTATTATTCAAAAATCTGAGCATAATTTTGTATTATTTCCACCTAAAGCAATGTATATGCCAGGGTTCTGTTTTGGCCCTTGGACAAGAGGCATGACTGATGCAAGGTCTTGGTCTCTTTTTTTTTTTCTAGAGTTGCCAGGATCTTTTCACAGTGGTGAAAACATTGTGGTCCAGTTCAACAAGACAGCAAACATAAACACTGCAATAAGCTTCTCTTTTTGATTTCCCCCAGCTCAGTTCTGGAAACCACAGCAGCAGGGTTTTGAGGAAGAAAATGGGACAGATAAGACACAGAGGGTGAACGATACTTTACAGAAAGTTTTAGAAGCAGCTGCAGTCCTGGCTGCTGGGACAGAGTAAAACGTGCACCAGAAGACTGGTTTGCAGGGAAATATGACTTGATAGAAACAGTCTCCATGCCCCAGATTTGGAGCGCAACCTTTTTATTGAGATGTCCTAAAAAAAGAGAGATCTTGGGAGAAGGTACTGGGTTTGCCTGCAGAAGTGCTGAAGGGAAGTTCCTGATCCCATCTCCCTGCAAACATGCATGCTCATACGCAAGTACAAACCCATTCTTTTACATTAGTTGTACAATACAGCACATGAAGGCAGACAGAAGAGTTGGCCCCCATCCCTGCTTCGTGCAGCCACTGTTGAAGGATGTGGGTTTACCTCTTGCTCTGAGCAAGAGTTTCAGCCATATTTCTGAGGAAAGCCAATGCCCTTGACTAGTTCACCCCAATAACAGTACTCAGGGTTTAGATAGGGATGGAGCCTGCACACAGTAGGTGTTTGCACGGATGTAGAATAGTGCAAAAGCCTTCCTCAATGTATTCCTCTTCAATACAGATTTATCTGAAAAAGTTAGCTTTCTCCAATGTACGAGAAACAGGCATTATGTCTCAAATCTGTCTTGGGTCAGGAAGCAGCAGATATCATAACAAGACTCAGAGATAAAGTTATACAGTCAGGTATAGCACTTTAGAAAGCTTCAGAAGGACAAACCCTGCATATTGAACTAGGAAATTGGGTGCAAAGGACAAGACATCCTGAAATAGCTTCTGGTTTTCCTCAAGAAACCCTGTGATGCCCAGTCTTTGAGATGCTGTCATCAGCTATATCAACTTTAGGATGCTGTCATCAACCATATTGGAAGGACACCTTGGGATTACATCTTATCCTCCTGCGTATTAATTCTTTCTGCAGAAGAAAACACAGCCAGTTCTCCCCAGTCCCTCAATCCCGCCCTGCAAGTCCCGTAGAAATTTCCCTGTGGGAATATTGTGGCGGGGGAGGTTGTGGTGTGCCTTCCTAGGTTTGTCCCACTTGCACAGAGAGAAGCCAAGGTAGAAGGGGAGGTTGGTTTCCTTTCTGCTGCTGGCGAGCACTACATCCATCGATGGTGTCATCAGCGAGAGACGTAAAGAGAATGCCAAGCATCACTGGGGAGAGAGATAGAGAAGCAAGGGTAGGAAAAAACCACTACTGCATACCATTTTCAGAGAACATGAAAAAAAATATGTATCCAGTGTGATCTGGTGCCGAAGAAGACATGCGTTGTGTCTGTGTGGGTTTTAGGCAGGAGAAGGCAAGACCAGTGCAGGCACTGTTCTCTGTCTGGTAGGGTCCCATGGAAGAGGAGCAGTAGTGCAGGGCCTGTTGTGGGTTACAGTGTGTTCATGCTCTTCAAAAATTCCCTCTTGCCTTGGAGAGCACTGGCACATGCTGCCTTACCTTCCTTCTCCCTGTTCTGACAGCTGACTCTTCGTCATAGGATACACCTGACTGTCTCTAATAAATAATGATCCTTGCCAAGTGAAGAAATAGTGAAATCTACGTGTCTTTCATGATAACCACTGTGTTTTTTAAGGACTAGTCTATAAAAATTTCCTGCAAGGATCTCTGATATTTTTTTGTACAAAGCAGGGATTTTCCCCCTACTTTTTCCCATTTTTTCTCTCTTTTATCTCACCTCAAACACTTCCATGTTCCGTTACGACATTTATTCCCCTACTTTTTAATGTTTCTTTGCACTCCTGTTTTGTCTCATGTTGTTTCCCCTTGATTCCTTTTTTTTTCTTTTTCCCTTTTAAATTTGGTTTCCTTTTAAAATTATCGCTAGACCACAGATGAGGAGTGCACTACGCTATTTTGGGAAATACAGAAATGCCTGGCATCATCTTCAGCTCTGCTTCTCTCTGGTGTGCTCCGACAAAGGGTTTTCATCATAGAGCACACGCACACACTGCAATGTGGCATGCACAGTGGCTTTAGTCTTCTGCCTTCTCCACACCCAGACTGATGCAGTTTACTTCGTTGCTGCCTGTGCCAAGTACTTAGAGCCAAACACAAAAGGAAATCTTGCTAAAACATAAAATTAACCCTTCAGTAGAGTCAGGGCTTGAGCAGACAAGAATCTCTGTGGGTTGATCATGGGACTGCCCATGGCAGGGGGGTTGGAACTAAATGATCTTAAGGTCCCTTCCAACCCAAACCATTCTGTGATTCTGTGATTCTATGACTGAGGGTGGAGGCAGCCCAAACAGAGAGGGTCCAACTCAGGAGAAAGGTGAGAGGGGCAGGATCCCACCAGAATTGCTGAGCTCTGTGGTTGCCTTCTCAAAACCTGTACAGGAAGGGTGGAAGCCCATTCCATTGCAGTTCTTGTTCCCATCGCTGGGACGTTCTATCAGACAATATGCAGGAGTAACTGACTTGAAGACCTCTCCAGACTATTGGACAGCAGATACTGCCTCACCCTTTGTATGGAGGACAAAACAAACACTAATGATTTGCACTGGATATCCCATAGTCCCTGTGAACCACACAGGACCATTTTCTCTCTATGTCTAAGGATTTACCACCTCGTGTTTTAGGCCTTTGCTGAGACTGGGATAAAATATAGGTTATGAGAAGATCTTCCTAATACGTTTAGCAGCTCTAGCTACATTAATCAACTGGTTATTGTGGATCTAACCACTCGTGGAAATCTGTGCCTGGAGAAAACAGTGTAATCAAACTCACCCCCGCCACTGTTTCTCTACTCATTGGTTTGAAACACAGCCTGTTGCTTTTCTTTGTTCCTCTGTCCTTGCTCATAGTTGACTCACTCTCTGTTTTTAAGAACACCAGTTTTGAGTGGGGACATGTGGGAACAAGTTAGCCCCCTGACTAACATAGGACGTGTTTAGAAGAGGCAATCCATATCATTCCTGGTGAGCAACTTTTGCCACAGTCCTCCAAGGTACTACAGCAAAGCTTTATGCTCTTTGCAGCTTTGACATCCATCCAGAAGATACGGAAGCAGACAAGGAAAGAAAAAACAAAAGGGAACAAAACCTTTTTTTTTAATAAGTTCTGTAGTTAACCCCATATCCTCTAGCTATGTTACTTGCAAAAGTGCCATGGATCACCTCCCTCAGGAGGACCCTTGCATGGTTCGTCTTCCCTTGTTTCTATGCTGGTTGTTGGGAAGCCATTCTACTGCATGACTCTGTTCACACTGTCAAACCACGGCAGGGAACTGAGGGTAACACAGGGTGGGTTGGGATGAGTGTGCTGCGGGGCAGCTTAATGCTGTCCTTTCCCCCTGCCTGAAGAGTGGCTGATGTGGAGGCCATATAGTGTGGCGGTACCCCAGAGCCAGACCATTATGAGTAATTTCTGAAATTGTGAGATGGTTTTGCAGTTCTGAAAAGCAAGAAGTGGTGGCTTCCTGTTTCCAGAGCACTGACGTTTTTGCTCCTGGAGTGCCGAGGTTTCCCACCATCCCTCCACAGTACCGAACTCACCAAAGAATTATTAAAGCAAATGAATGAAATGTATGAAAACTGTC